TGTTCAATATTTGGATGTTATTCTGAAACTGTTCAAGGACACGTCTGTTTGAGGTTCAACATCAAAACTGTGCATTTAAAGGGGCTGAGGTTTCAATGTAATTTGTACACAGAAATAGTTTGTGCTATTTCTGTTGGGGAGTTAAAAGGACTTTTTAAGTTATGAAAAATAGTCTATGACCTTTAGAAAAACATAATTATTTTGACTCTTCCAAATATAACCATGTTTTAAATAGTAGGCAGCATTATTAGAAAAGGCAAATATTGTTTAAAATAAATTAAGCTACAGGCTAAGGGAGCAATGGGCATTATGACTGCTCTTTAGAGAGCTACAAGATTCATGACTTCATGTTTAATAAAAATGTCACAGATGCACAAATACGTTTTTCGGACTCCATGCATTAAAAAAGAATGATTTCAGCATACCCTGTGGCTTTAAGATGAATGAGAGAATATAATTTTCCAAAACTATTAGGATACTCTAAACAGCTAAGTTAAAACACTGATTTTTTACTACTTCTTTCACCCTTTAGGCTTCATTATTTAGATAATTTCTTTTAGCAGGTCCAAGACTGACACAAATTAGCCACATGCCAGAAACTGGGCAACAATCTGCATTTTCTGTATGTTTCATATCTTATTTAATATATTTTTCAGACACTAGAAGTAGATAAATTCTAACGTCCACCTTTTTGGTTCTAGCTGCCAGCATTAACTCAGTCAATCTGACCTTCCAGAGCACCACTCTGACCTTTGCTCATACTCCACTCCCAATACTAACCATTTAACACGTCACTTCACCACTGATAGAAGAAATTGAGATTAACCTAGCAAGGACACACATTAAAAAACAGTAGCTAATTTTTGTGATGACTTCAGGTAAGAATGAATCCAGATAAGAATGATGTACATACCTGTACCACAGGGTCTTTTGGTTGGTGTGATTAACGAGACATGAGCTGTATCTGTGCATGGCCCACCTAGAAACAGAAAGGCAAGCATATCAGTCAGGATATACCCTCTACAAGCCCATCACGTCTATCTCAGATAAAGAGAAATATAGAGAGGTGGGGATTGACCTGCCAACATGCATAAGGAGGGGCAAAAGGAAAGATGGAGGTGGTGTAGTGGTCGTACTGGTAGGTTAATTCTAAGGACCTAATTTTAGTTCAGCAATTTGGTCTACAGATCCCTACTCTTCCTACACGTTTTTCATAAAAAACAATCAAGTCTCACATAATATTAACACGTTAAAGAATAAAATTTTAACTAGGATTCCAATCCTGGCAAAAGGAAATTACCCATAAGTTTGGGTAGATGAATTTTTCCACAGAGAAAATAGCAGGAGGATCCCCTCTTAGGTTGACCTCAGTAGTCACCCTATCTTTGAATCTATTGCAAAACTATATTCAAAAGAGAAAACTCCCTAAGGAACAACAAGCTGTCACAAGAAATAAGGATTATATTAATATATAAAGAGAGCACTACTGACCAAGGAGGACTACCTGGTTTAATTGTAAGAATAATATATGAAGAGGGTTTTCACAGAATCTTGAGGGTCCGGATATCTGATGGATATGTTCAATGCAGGAGAATGCAAGTCAGTCAGTGGGTGAAAGCTTGAAAAGCAGTAATTTCATTCTGTAGAATCAGGAACACTAACAAATTCTTAAGGTGATACTGATATATACCTTAACCCTCCTGTGCTGGGCACCATGCCTACCTTCTGAAGTAGGACGTTACCGAATAAACATCAATACCAGTGATTCTCGACATGCCCTAGAAGGGGCAACGGTGGTGATCATAAGGAAGAGAACACCCAAGCAAATGTTTCACATATGAACTGAAAAGGCTCCTCAGGTAACTATGACTAGCAAAGGGAAACGTAGCTATATGTCACCTCATGTGACAAGACTTCACATGGAAGTTACTTACTGAAAAGGAACTTAAGATGAAAGAGCTCTGAAACCTGTTTTTGAAGTTTATGCCACCAAGATCCATTGGTTTAGGGACCTGGAGATCCCACCTAAGAAGTTCCTCATTAGTCCACACTTTCCTATACACCAAGGCCGTTAAGAGTAGCAAACCTTAGTGGGTGCAAGAATATACACAGAGGAAATAGGACAAGGGAGGATAGAACAAGTGTATTGTTAATGTCAAAGAGTACTCAACATATACCTACTATGTGCCACCATGGGTTAGTCTCACGCTCAGGGAGCTTAGAATCTTGTAAGGAAGACAAAATTAGTGTAAATAAATAAAGAACAATACGTAACAACAATAAAGAGTGGTGGAAAATGACTAAATGCCAAAGACTACGGAACAAATAATAAATGCTAAATGTGATCAGGAAGAAGGATATTTATCATTGGCTAACATCGCCTGGAAATACTTCTAAGGATTTGAAAAAGGCAAGAATAAATTGAAAGTTAGAAAGACCAAAAAAGAGCAGGGCATTTCAACTGAAACTTTTTTTCTACAAATGTCACACATTCACCAGAGAAAGCTTAACAGACTAAACCTCCAGAGGTCCAAATGGACAACTGTGACATGAAAACAGGCAACATGGAGAGACAATAAACAACAGGAAAACCTGATACAGACCCTACATCCTTGAGAACCCAGTGGGGACTGATTTCTACAGTTCAATAAAATGCTGTAGCTTCTGCTTCCATCTGAGTTTTAGTTTTGGCTGTTGTTAACTGAAGTATTCTTATTTCTAAAAAAATATAGCCTTTTCTAGAAGACTCAGTTTAAAGTCCTGCAAGTACTCCCTACTTGCTGGGTAATCCTGGATAAGTGAGCCTCAGTTTAAGAAAAAAATGGGGATAGAAAAATTGCCCATAAGCCGCAGTATTGATGAAGTCATCTGTACAGAAAGATTTCATAAGCTATAAAGCTTTATATTATGTATTATCACTTTGCTTCCATCAGATTATATGTTCCAAAGGGTTAAGACCCAATTTGTCATCTACTCTTGGCTCATAATTATGTGGCACTTAATAGTCTTTATTGAGAGACCACTGCAAGTTGTTTCATTGAATCAGGAAAGTAATGTATATTTTTTAAAACTTTTTAAAACTGAAACATAACATAAAGAAAATAAAACAATAGAATAAATTTGCACAAATTTTAAGTATACACTCAGCAGGGTTTTACATATACATACACATAATGTGAATATATATATACATACACATAATGTGAAATGACCATCAGATAAAAATTAGAGCATTTCCAGAATCCAGAAAGTTCAAGGGAGCTTTTTAAAAATACAGACACCCCAACCCTGACTCTGGAAATTTTGATACAGTAAGTTGGGGTGGGCAGAGGAAGACAGAAGTGTACATTTTTAAGCCAGATGAACATAATGTAAATATTAACAGCCGGAGTTAGTTCCAATCTCTGATAACATTTTCTTTTACTCCACGCTCAGTATCTGGCCAAGAACAGTGAATTACCACAACATTGTGAGCTGCACAGAGCATGAGAGTCAGTAACAACTTAACTACCAGAATACCTTTTAAGAAAGGACATAAAATAATTCATCCAGTAAAAGTATGTGAGAAGGGAGAAATCGGTCAAATCAAAACCCGTAAAGAACTTTGGCTGGGACTCATAAGTAGCACTTCCATGTTTACAAATGAAATCTTTACCTCATCTGTAGATTTTGAGTTTATTCTTTTAAAAATTCCTAATGGATGAATTCCTATAGGTTTTGGCAAATTCACAAATAACTCTAAGGCTATGTAGCATATCTCAACATGCATCACCATGAAAGTGTTCTCTAGAGAGCTTGTTAAACTAACAACCCAATTCAATGTCACCGCATTAAAGTACAAATAAAACCATAGTTGAGCCAAAACAAACTGACAGCAAGAGTAACTGACAGTGATAATATATCCCAGCTTTGATAATTGGACAATATCATAAACAGAGAACTTGGAATTAAGTTTGGTCTGACAGACTACAACCTATGAAACTTTAAAATCCGGAACAGATGCATATGAGCACTACGCACATATTCTATACTAACTGTGCTGTCACACAAAATCCGTGTAACTCTCAAACAGAGCACTCACAGAAGATTACACTACCTACCCTTACACAATTACAAATCTTCCTCAGACTATGGGGTCACATCGTGATAAACCCATTGTAAATTGAAAATATTGTAAATAAAATATGCCTTGAATACACCTAACCTACTGAACATTATAGCTTAGCCTTGCCTATCTTAAACGTGCTCAGAACACTTACTTTAGCCTACAGTTAGGCAAAATCATTTAGCATTAAGCCTATTTAATGCTAAAACATTTAATAAAATGTTGAGTATCTCATTTAATAAATGCTAAAACACTGAATAAAATGAATATCTCATTTAACAAAATATTGGATATCTCATGTAATTTGTGGAATACTGTACTGAAAGAGAAAAATAAAACTGGCTGTATGGGTACAGAATGGCTGTAAGTGAATCAGTTGTTTACCCTAATAATCAAGTGGCTCACTGGGAGCCACGGCTTCCTGCTGCCCGGAATCACAAGAGTATTTTACCACATATTGCTAGCCCAGGAAATGATCCAAAATCAAAATCTGAAGTATGATTTCTACTGAATGCACATCTCTTTCACTCCATCATAAAGTTGAAAAAATCCTAAATTGAACCATCATAAGTTGGGATAATGTGTAATTCCAAATCAACTCTATTAAAATGAATGCAGGAAATTAACATATTTTTCAGACACTAGAAGTAGATAAATTCTAACGTCCACCTTTTTGGTTCTAGCTGCCAGCATTAACTCAGTCAATCTGACCTTCCAGAGCACCACTCTGACCTTTGCTCATACTCCACTCCCAATACTAACCATTTAACACGTCACTTCACCACTGATAGAAGAAATTGAGATTAACCTAGCAAGGACACACATTAAAAAACAGTAGCTAATTTTTGTGATGACTTCAGGTAAGAATGAATCCAGATAAGAATGATGTACATACCTGTACCACAGGGTCTTTTGGTTGGTGTGATTAACGAGACATGAGCTGTATCTGTGCATGGCCCACCTAGAAACAGAAAGGCAAGCATATCAGTCAGGATATACCCTCTACAAGCCCATCACGTCTATCTCAGATAAAGAGAAATATAGAGAGGTGGGGATTGACCTGCCAACATGCATAAGGAGGGGCAAAAGGAAAGATGGAGGTGGTGTAGTGGTCGTACTGGTAGGTTAATTCTAAGGACCTAATTTTAGTTCAGCAATTTGGTCTACAGATCCCTACTCTTCCTACACGTTTTTCATAAAAAACAATCAAGTCTCACATAATATTAACACGTTAAAGAATAAAATTTTAACTAGGATTCCAATCCTGGCAAAAGGAAATTACCCATAAGTTTGGGTAGATGAATTTTTCCACAGAGAAAATAGCAGGAGGATCCCCTCTTAGGTTGACCTCAGTAGTCACCCTATCTTTGAATCTATTGCAAAACTATATTCAAAAGAGAAAACTCCCTAAGGAACAACAAGCTGTCACAAGAAATAAGGATTATATTAATATATAAAGAGAGCACTACTGACCAAGGAGGACTACCTGGTTTAATTGTAAGAATAATATATGAAGAGGGTTTTCACAGAATCTTGAGGGTCCGGATATCTGATGGATATGTTCAATGCAGGAGAATGCAAGTCAGTCAGTGGGTGAAAGCTTGAAAAGCAGTAATTTCATTCTGTAGAATCAGGAACACTAACAAATTCTTAAGGTGATACTGATATATACCTTAACCCTCCTGTGCTGGGCACCATGCCTACCTTCTGAAGTAGGACGTTACCGAATAAACATCAATACCAGTGATTCTCGACATGCCCTAGAAGGGGCAACGGTGGTGATCATAAGGAAGAGAACACCCAAGCAAATGTTTCACATATGAACTGAAAAGGCTCCTCAGGTAACTATGACTAGCAAAGGGAAACGTAGCTATATGTCACCTCATGTGACAAGACTTCACATGGAAGTTACTTACTGAAAAGGAACTTAAGATGAAAGAGCTCTGAAACCTGTTTTTGAAGTTTATGCCACCAAGATCCATTGGTTTAGGGACCTGGAGATCCCACCTAAGAAGTTCCTCATTAGTCCACACTTTCCTATACACCAAGGCCGTTAAGAGTAGCAAACCTTAGTGGGTGCAAGAATATACACAGAGGAAATAGGACAAGGGAGGATAGAACAAGTGTATTGTTAATGTCAAAGAGTACTCAACATATACCTACTATGTGCCACCATGGGTTAGTCTCACGCTCAGGGAGCTTAGAATCTTGTAAGGAAGACAAAATTAGTGTAAATAAATAAAGAACAATACGTAACAACAATAAAGAGTGGTGGAAAATGACTAAATGCCAAAGACTACGGAACAAATAATAAATGCTAAATGTGATCAGGAAGAAGGATATTTATCATTGGCTAACATCGCCTGGAAATACTTCTAAGGATTTGAAAAAGGCAAGAATAAATTGAAAGTTAGAAAGACCAAAAAAGAGCAGGGCATTTCAACTGAAACTTTTTTTCTACAAATGTCACACATTCACCAGAGAAAGCTTAACAGACTAAACCTCCAGAGGTCCAAATGGACAACTGTGACATGAAAACAGGCAACATGGAGAGACAATAAACAACAGGAAAACCTGATACAGACCCTACATCCTTGAGAACCCAGTGGGGACTGATTTCTACAGTTCAATAAAATGCTGTAGCTTCTGCTTCCATCTGAGTTTTAGTTTTGGCTGTTGTTAACTGAAGTATTCTTATTTCTAAAAAAATATAGCCTTTTCTAGAAGACTCAGTTTAAAGTCCTGCAAGTACTCCCTACTTGCTGGGTAATCCTGGATAAGTGAGCCTCAGTTTAAGAAAAAAATGGGGATAGAAAAATTGCCCATAAGCCGCAGTATTGATGAAGTCATCTGTACAGAAAGATTTCATAAGCTATAAAGCTTTATATTATGTATTATCACTTTGCTTCCATCAGATTATATGTTCCAAAGGGTTAAGACCCAATTTGTCATCTACTCTTGGCTCATAATTATGTGGCACTTAATAGTCTTTATTGAGAGACCACTGCAAGTTGTTTCATTGAATCAGGAAAGTAATGTATATTTTTTAAAACTTTTTAAAACTGAAACATAACATAAAGAAAATAAAACAATAGAATAAATTTGCACAAATTTTAAGTATACACTCAGCAGGGTTTTACATATACATACACATAATGTGAATATATATATACATACACATAATGTGAAATGACCATCAGATAAAAATTAGAGCATTTCCAGAATCCAGAAAGTTCAAGGGAGCTTTTTAAAAATACAGACACCCCAACCCTGACTCTGGAAATTTTGATACAGTAAGTTGGGGTGGGCAGAGGAAGACAGAAGTGTACATTTTTAAGCCAGATGAACATAATGTAAATATTAACAGCCGGAGTTAGTTCCAATCTCTGATAACATTTTCTTTTACTCCACGCTCAGTATCTGGCCAAGAACAGTGAATTACCACAACATTGTGAGCTGCACAGAGCATGAGAGTCAGTAACAACTTAACTACCAGAATACCTTTTAAGAAAGGACATAAAATAATTCATCCAGTAAAAGTATGTGAGAAGGGAGAAATCGGTCAAATCAAAACCCGTAAAGAACTTTGGCTGGGACTCATAAGTAGCACTTCCATGTTTACAAATGAAATCTTTACCTCATCTGTAGATTTTGAGTTTATTCTTTTAAAAATTCCTAATGGATGAATTCCTATAGGTTTTGGCAAATTCACAAATAACTCTAAGGCTATGTAGCATATCTCAACATGCATCACCATGAAAGTGTTCTCTAGAGAGCTTGTTAAACTAACAACCCAATTCAATGTCACCGCATTAAAGTACAAATAAAACCATAGTTGAGCCAAAACAAACTGACAGCAAGAGTAACTGACAGTGATAATATATCCCAGCTTTGATAATTGGACAATATCATAAACAGAGAACTTGGAATTAAGTTTGGTCTGACAGACTACAACCTATGAAACTTTAAAATCCGGAACAGATGCATATGAGCACTACGCACATATTCTATACTAACTGTGCTGTCACACAAAATCCGTGTAACTCTCAAACAGAGCACTCACAGAAGATTACACTACCTACCCTTACACAATTACAAATCTTCCTCAGACTATGGGGTCACATCGTGATAAACCCATTGTAAATTGAAAATATTGTAAATAAAATATGCCTTGAATACACCTAACCTACTGAACATTATAGCTTAGCCTTGCCTATCTTAAACGTGCTCAGAACACTTACTTTAGCCTACAGTTAGGCAAAATCATTTAGCATTAAGCCTATTTAATGCTAAAACATTTAATAAAATGTTGAGTATCTCATTTAATAAATGCTAAAACACTGAATAAAATGAATATCTCATTTAACAAAATATTGGATATCTCATGTAATTTGTGGAATACTGTACTGAAAGAGAAAAATAAAACTGGCTGTATGGGTACAGAATGGCTGTAAGTGAATCAGTTGTTTACCCTAATAATCAAGTGGCTCACTGGGAGCCACGGCTTCCTGCTGCCCGGAATCACAAGAGTATTTTACCACATATTGCTAGCCCAGGAAATGATCCAAAATCAAAATCTGAAGTATGATTTCTACTGAATGCACATCTCTTTCACTCCATCATAAAGTTGAAAAAATCCTAAATTGAACCATCATAAGTTGGGATAATGTGTAATTCCAAATCAACTCTATTAAAATGAATGCAGGAAATTAACAGCCACTCAACAGGAATTTTTTCAGGTTTTGGCCACAACAATAAAAATGTAACATGGGTCTCATTGGTTATAGGAAATAAAATAATTTTGAGAGTTGATGGTAAGGGTCAAAGTCAGGGCATCTGCTCTATCAAGGAACAGAACTGGCTTTTCTTTATTGGGCTTCCTAATGCCTGAGAGGAGAGAGGGCATATGGTACCTTAAATCACGCACTCTGCTAATTTTGGCCTTTGTTCCTCTTCTTTCGAGGCAGCAGGGTGAACAGAGCTAATAACTGACAGCAAGGTGAGGAAGCTTCTTCATGACTGGGTTCTATAGGTGAAGTAACTGTGTGTGTGTGTGTGTGTGTGTGTGTGTGTGTGTGTGTGTGTGTGTGTGTGTGTGTGTGTGTGTGTGTGTTCATTCAGTGGTATCAAGATTGGGAAAAAATCTAGCACAGAATGATTTATACCATTACCCTCTAGCCTATATTAGTAGCAACTGGGTTTGGAAAAATAAATTTTGGGCTTTTAAATATTTTAAAAAATCATAGAGTTCCTTAATATGACAGGCTCTCCAGGAATTCTGAACCAGATGACACCTAGAAAACCAACTTGAACAAACTTCTGCCAATCACCACAAGAGCTTTTTGCTTTCTTTTGCTAAAGCACATATAGTATCTGAATTTTTTTCAAGGTTCCTCATTATCTATATATATTTAATAACAGACTATCATTTTGCTTTTGACATTACATTCAGAGGATATTTTCCTAAATTCCAACACTTCAGAGTCTGGAATTTGCAAGTACGTAATGTCTGTGGTTTGTGACCAGAAGTCTAAATACTCTATCTTGTCTAGGTCTAGGTGTTTCTATTGTCTAGGGATGTTTCTATTCTTGTATTAAAGGTGTCACCCAGAATGAAGCACTGTGGATCGCATTTGCAATTCCACATGAGACCCATGAAATGAAAATTCTTCATCTTATATTCCCAACAACTGAAATCTTTATAGCATCTGCAATAGGCAGTGGATTTTCTTGGGGAATCAGTACTGATTTCAGCCCTGTAAAAATGAACACAGGGGTCAAATCTGCGTATTAACTTCATCTGCAAAACCAGAAGACCTGGATAAAGATATACCACTAATTTCAACACATTTCAAGCCAAGGTAGCAAAATCCTTAATTTTTCTTTTCAGCCTCCTGTAGAGTTACTAAGCATGTTAAAAAAAAAACCCTGAGCTACCCTAATCCCATAGACTGGTTAAAG